AAAAAGACACAAATACACAAAAACAGCACTAAACGAGGGGAAATTATTACAGGCACCGTACAAATTCAAGGGATTATACAAGAATACTATGAAAAAGTGTATAACATCAAATTTAATAACCTAGAAGAAATGGACCAGTACTTAGAAAAACACAACCTTCCTAGAATGAATCAAGAACTAGAAAATCTATAGACCAATTATCAGTATGGAAATTAAAACCATCTTCAAAAACCTACCAAAAAGTAAACGTCCAGGACCAAATGGCTTCACCAGTGAATTCTACCTAACATTCAAAAAAGATTTAATACCTATTCTCCTCAAACTCTTTCAAAGAAGTGAAGAGGAGACAATACTTCCCAACTCATTTTATGAGGCCAATATTACCCTGATACCAAAACCTGGTAAAGAAAACACAACAAAAAAAAACTACAGACTGATATCTCTCATGAACACAGATCCAAAAGTCCTAAATACGATACTAGCGAACCGAATACATCAACATATTAAAAATATTATACACCACGAGCAATTGGGCTAGGTCCCAGAGGCACAGGGATGGTTCAACACACACAAATCAATTAATGTGATACACCACATAAACAAATTAAAAAAATAAGAAACATATTATCATATCAATAGATACAGAAAAAGCCTTCAACAAGATACAGCATCCATTTATGATCAAAACAACAAAATCGGTATAGAAGGAAAGTACCTTATCATAATAAAGGCCATATATGACTCACCCTCAGCCAACATAATACTTAATGGTGAAAAACTAAAAACCTTCCCTCTAAGATCAGGAACAAGGCAAGGCTGTCCACTATCACCACTGTTATTCAGTATAACATTGGAGGTCCTAGCAAGTGCAATCAGGTAAGAAGACAAAGATATAAAAGGCATCCAAATAGAAAACGAATAAGTCAAACTGTCACTATTTTTGGATGACATGATTCTCTATATAGAAAACCCTAAAGACTCCACAAAAACACTACTGGAAACAGTAAGGAAATACAGTAAACTTTCTGGATACAAAATCAACTTTCAAGAATCCATAGCGTTCCTATACTCTAGTAACGAAGTTTAGGAAAAAGAAGTGGAAAATATAATTCCTTTTGCAATTGCAACAAAAAGAATAAAATACCTAGGAATAAATTTAATGAAGCATGTGAAGGATCTATATAATGAAAACTATAAGACTCTATTAAAAGAAACCAAAGAAGATACAAAGAAATAGAAAGATATTCCATGTTCTTGGATCGTAAGAATCAATAGTTAAAATGACCAAATTACCTAAAGCATTATACAAATTTAATGCAACCCCCATCAAAATCTCATCAGCATTTTTTTAAGAAATAGAACAAAAAATCATCAGATTTGTATGGAAGCACAAAAGACCATGAATTGCCAAAGCCATCCTGAGATAAAAGAAAGAGGATGGAGGCGTCACTCTGCCAGACTTCAAATTATACTACAAAGTGACAGTAATGAAAACAACATGGTACTGGCAGCAAAACAGACATACGGACCAGTGGAACAGAATCGAGAGTCCAGAAGTAAACCCATATTTATTTGGGCAAATAATTTTCAACAAAAAAAGCCAAAAACATACAGTGGAGAAAGGAAAGCCTCTTCAATAAATGACACTGGGAAAATTGGAAAACAACCTGCAAAAAAATGAAACTAGACTGTTGTCTATCACCACACACCAAAATTAACTCAAAATGGATTAAGGACCTGAATATAAAACCTGAAACAAACAAACAAAAAATTCATACAAGAAAATATAGGAAGTAAACTCAAGGACCTTGGACTTAAAGGGGATTTTATAAATTTGACTTCAAAAGCAAGAGAAGTAAAAGCTAAAATAAATGTATGGGACTACATCAACCTGAAAAGCTACTGCTCAGTAAAAGAAATTGTCAACAAGGTAAAGAGTCAACCATCTGCATGGGAAAATATATTTGTAAGCAATGCCTCTGATAAGGGCCTAATATCCAAAATAGACAAAGAACTCATACAAATCAAACAACAACAACAACAAAAACAAATGATCCAATCAAAAAATGGGCAGAGGATCTGAACAGACATACAAATGGCCAACAAATATTTGAAAAGATGCTCAATATTGCTAGCTATTGAGGAAATGCAAATAAAAACCACAATGAGATATCATCCCACACCTGTTAGATTAGCTATAATCAACAAGTAATAACAAGTTATGGAGAGGATGTGGAAAAGAAGGAACTCTCATAAACTGCTGGTGGGACTGCAAATTGGTACAGCCACTATGGAAAACAGTATGGAAGTTCCTCAAAAGACTAAGAATTGATCTACCATATGATCCAGCAACCCCTCTACTGGCTATTTACCTCAAAGACTTGAAAACATATAATCAAAAAGGTATTTGCATACTGATGTTCATAGAAGCATTATTCACAGTGGCCAGGACAATCAAAGTGTCCTATGATATAGGATTGGATAAAGAAGCTGTGGTACATATATACAATGGAATATTACTCAGCCATAAAAAGACATGAAATACTGCCATTTGCAACATGGATGGACCTCGAGATAATCATGCTAAGAGAAATATGTCAGACGGAAAAAGTTGAAAATCACATGATATCACTTACATGTGAGATATAAACCTAAAAGCAACAAATGAACAAGACAAATAAACAGAGACTCATGGACATGGACTATAGACTAGTGGTTACCAGATGGTAGGTAGTGGGAGGAGGGGGAATTAGATGGAGTAAAGGGGGTCAAATACGTAGTGAGTGAAAGAAATCTAACTATGGGAGGTGAATACATAGTGTAAATATATATATACCTTATTGTTAAAGTATATAGCTGAAACTTATTGGATTTTGTTAACCAACGTCACCATAAAAAAAACAAAACAAAACAAAACAAAACAAAACAAAACGCATCAACAGGAAAACAGTGTCCTTAAATGACACATGAAACCAGATGGATTTAATTGATATTTTGATTATTTTTACCCAAAACAGTGGAATACACATTCTTCTTTAGTGCAGTAATACGTTTTCCAAGATAGAACACGTCAACCCACAAAAAGTCTTAATAAATTTAAGAAGTTTGAAATCTTATCAAACGTCTTCTCCAACCACAATGATATGAAATTAGAAATCGATCAAAAGAAAAAGAACTGAAAAATACACAAACACATAATAGCTAATAACATGATATTTAACAATGAATGGATTAAAAATGAAATCAAGGAAGAAATCAAAAGATATCTTAAAATGAAAATGAAATGAAAACAAAATGACCCCAAATCTATGGAACACAGCAAAAGCAGTCTTGACAGGGAAATTCATAGCAATACAGGCCTACCTCAAGAAACAAGAAAAGTCTCAAATGAACAGTCTAATCTACACCTAAAGGAACTGGAAAAATAACACAAACAAAGCCCATAGTGAGTAGAAGGAAGGAAATAATAAAGATCAGAGCAGAAATAAACAAAATAGAGTCTAAGAAACAATACAAAAGATCAATGAAACCAAGAGCTGGTTCTTTGAAAATATAAACAAAATTCATAAACTTTTATTTTTTCAAGACTCATCAAGAAAAAAATAGAAAGAATCCTAACAAGACTCATCAAGAAACTAAAGACAAAGGACACAAATTAATAAAATCAGAAATTAAAAGAGAAGTGACAACTGACTCCACAGAAATACAAATGATTGTAATAAAATACTATGAGCAATTATATTCTGATAAATCAGACAATCTGGAAGAAATGGATACATTCTTAGAAACATACAATCTCCCAAGTCTGAATCAAGAGCCAGAAAATCTGAACTCACTGATTATTACTAATAAAACTGATCAGTCAAGAAGAGAGAAAGCTCCCAAGCTCATTCTATGAAGCCACCACTACCTTGATTCCAAAACCAAACAAATACATTACAAAGAAAGAAAATTATAGGTGGATATCTCCCAGAAAATCTGAACTCACTGATTATTACTAATAAAACTGATCAGTAATCAAAAACTCCTAATACATCCTATTGTAGTTTATAAGCATGATGACTGGGTGTTCATGCCATTGTGTGAGATGTGCCTCCCTTAAATCTTGTTACAATGTCAGCATATAACCCATCTGGTTTTATATATATGTGTAAATAAATATATATATAACCAGATGGGATATATTAGCAAATTCAAATCAGCAATACAAAAATATCATACACCATGATCAAGTGGAAATCTTCCCTAGGATATGAGATTGGTTCAATATCTGCATATCAATTAATGTGATACATTACATTAACAAATTAAAAGATAAAAATCATATAACCATATCAACAGATGTAGAAGAAGCATTTGAAAAAAATCCAGTCTGTTTATGATAAAAACTCTCAGCAAATTGAGAATAGAGGGAATATATCTCAACATAATAAAGGCCACATGTGATAAATCCAAGCTAACATTATACTCAGTGGTGAAAAGTTAATATCAGGAACAAGACAAGGATGTCCACTTTCACCACTTTTATTCAGTATAGTATTGGAAGTCTTAGCCACATCAATCAGAAAAAAAAAAAAAAAAACAACCATCCAAATTGAAAAGAAAGAAGTAATGCAGATGACATGATACTATATAGAGAGAACCCTGAAGACTCCGTAAAAAGAACTGTTAGAACTGATAAACGAATTCTGTAAAGTAGCAGGATACAAAATTAATATTCAGAAATCGGTTGCATTCTTATACACCAATAATGAACTACCAGAAAATTAAGAAAACAATCCCATTTAACACTGCATCAAAAATAAATAAATAAATAAGATACCTAGGAATAAATTTGACCAAAGCTATAAAAGACATGTACTCAGTAAATTATGTCACTGAAGATAAAAATGAAAGAAAAAACAAATAAATGGAATTATATACTCTGCTCATGGATAGACAGTATTAACATTGTTAAAATGTCCATACTACCCAAAGCAATCTATAGATTCAAAGTAATCCCTATTAAAATACCAACATCATTTTTCACAGAACTATAAAAAATAATCCAAAAATTATATGGAACCATGAAAGGCCCCAAAAAGCCATGGTAATCTTGAGAAAAAAGAACAAAGTTGGAAATATCATGCTACCTGATATCAAACTATACTACAAGGCTATTGTAATCAAAACAGCATGGCATTGGCATAAAAACAGACACAAAGATCAATAGAACAGCATTAAGAGCCCAGATATAAATCCACGCCTATATGGTCTTTTAATCTATGATGAAGGAGGCAAAAATATACAAAGGTCTTGAGAAATATAAATGGTCTTGAGAAAACTGAACAAATACATCCAAAAAAATGAAATTGGACCACCATCTTATTCCATATACACAAATAAACTCAAAATAGATTAAAGACTTACATGTAAGACTCAAAACCATAAAACTCTGAGAAAAAAATATAGACAGCAAATTCTCTGACATTGCTCTTAGTAATATTTTTTCTGATATGTTACCTCAGGCAAAGGAAACAAAAGAAAAGTAAACAAATGGCACTACGACAAAATAAATTTTTTTGCATATCGAAGGAAACCATCAACAAAACTAAAAGACAGCCTACTGAATGGAAGAAGATATTTGCCAATGATACATATGTAAGGGATTAATATCCAAAATTCATAAAAAACTCATACAACTCAACAACAAAAATAAACAATCCAATAAAAAAGGATCAGAAGAGCTGAATAGATATTTCTTCAAAGAGGAAACACAAATGGTCAATAGCTATTTGAAAAGATGCTCAATAGCACTAATCATCCGAGAAAGGCAAATTAAAACCACAATGAGATAATACCTCATATCTGTCAGAATGACTATCATTAATGAATCAACAAACGGTAAGTGTTGGTGAGGATGTGGAGAAAAGGGAACCCTTTTGCACTGTTGGTGGTACAGCCACTGTGGAAAATAATTTGGAAGTTCCTCAAAAAATTAAAAACAGAACTACCTTATGACTCAACAATTCCACTTTTGGGTATTTATACAAAGAAAACCAAAACACTAATTTGTAAAGATATATGCACCCCTGTGTTCACTACAGTGCTATTTACAATATCCAAGATATGGAAGCAACCTAAGTGATCATCAAAAGACAATTGGACAAAGCCATAAAAATGAAATCTTACCATTTGCAACTATGTGGATGGACCTAGAGAGTATTATGCTAAATGAAATAAGTCAGACAGGGAAAGACAAATATCACGTGAATTTATATACGTGGAATCAAAGAAACAAAATGAATGAACAAACAAAATGAAAACAGACTAATAGATACAGAGAACAAATGATTGCCAGATGGGATGGGACATTGTGAGCTGGGTGAAAATGTTGAAGCAATTGAGAAATGAGAATTGGTAGTTAAAAATAGTCACAGGGATGTGAGTACAGCATAAGAAATATAGTCAGTAATATCGTAATAACTATGTATAGTGTCAGGCGGGTACTAGAGTAATCGAGGGGATCGCTCTGTAAATTATATAACTGTCTAAACACTATGCTATATACCTGAAGCTAATAAAATAATATTGAATGTCAGCTCTACTTAAAAAATAAAAATTAAAAAAAGACATATGAAACTCATTTTGAATCATTTTTATAGTCGTCTTCAGAAAGCTTCCATCCTCCCACACAGACTCCTATAACTTAACCTCATTGTTTGTTTTTACTGTTTTTTAATTTCTGAAACTCTCCAAGCTCTCTTTCGCATCTGAATCTTCTCTTATACTCTTTGCTATGTCTGGGAATTAAACTTTGATTTAAATTAGGTTCAGTTTTGATATTTTTTCTCTCTGGAAACTTTCACTGGTATCTTGTTACTTCTCTTCTTCTGGGTAGGGGTTCTTGTCACTTTCATAACCCTTTCGAATATCCCTTTTTAAGCACTTATTAAGCTGTTGTGTTCATTCTATTTATATTGCAACCTCTGACTAATCCTCACAAAAGCAAGAAATGTGTCCATATTCTATGTCATTTGGGGTTCTACATATTTTATATTCATTGAATGAATACATATTCCAGCTGTAACAGTGGCACAGATTCTACTGAGATGATAGAGATAAAACAAAAATAAACCAAAATATAAAATTAGAACTTCTGTTCTAATGTAGTTCTACTTTGCTTCCAATTCCAGATGTGAGAAGATCATGAATTATTTTGCATATCTTCATTGCTCTGTCAGATGACCCAGTATCTTGCTTGAAATTTAATACCCAGTGGTACATTTAATTTTCATAAGATTACTTTCAGTATCATAATATTTTTAATTTTTACATAGTAGTATTATAATTATATAGCAACTGCTAAAGGGTTTATTTTCTATATCATTCCTAATTTTTAAATCAGTAGTTCATGACCATTTGTATACACTTGAAAATAATACACATATTTTATTTTCTGATTTTAAAACTATAATATCCATGCACTATTACTGAGAAAAAGTATCAGAAGTGAAAGGATCACAAGTCTTAGCCTTCAACTCATAGAGTAAAATATTTTTTAAATTTTTCTTGTAATCTACACCCAATTTATTTTTGTTAATTATGCCATATATAGGAAAAAACATACATAGGAAACATTATTATTTTCCTTTTAGCTGATAATGATTAATGTTTTGTATATATTAATTTCTTTGAACAAAAAGATATATAATAAAAATAATATGTATTTTTGCACTTCTGTGAAAGCTTTTTCAGTCTAGTAAATCAGATTGTAATTTGGATCTAGGTTTTCGAATGTTTGCTTGCCACCAAGGAATGGTACTCCTGGGGATTCTGCAGACATACTGAGAAATTGATATAATGATAAAGTGCTCTGAGAATCTCATAAAATGTTTTTTGGTAGAAATAAAAAGAAAAAAGATAAACAATACCCATTTTGAAAAAAGAAAAGCAGAGTTGAGAATGCATTTACATCTAAGCATGAAAAATATACCCCAATTAACTACCATTCTTTAGAACTCTTATTTGGACAGTTGAGAAATAACTCAGAAATGAAGGTAGTACAAAAATTCAGGATTCTGTCATCATATATATATATTTTTTGATAATTACTATCTTCATTTATCTTAACACTCTGAAATTTGTTGCTCACAGTTCACTTTGGTTCCTAACATAAACAGCATTTTAAAGAAAAAAAATATTTCAGAAATTGAATGTATTTTTAATTATTTTAAGATCATTTCTATCAGAATAAACAAGAATTTATTCAATTTGGTCATGAAATTAGTTATTTATGGATCTATAGATAATGTCGACATACTGAATATACATATCTAGGAGATTATGTTCTAAATATTTTAGTTTATGTTTTGAATATATTCAGGTGACACATTTGTTTTCTGGTTAAGATACACATATTCAATACTTCTTCGGATATATTTTTTATCAATTATTACTAATTTTTATTAATAAATCTATATTATCTCTATCTACCTAATAAAACTATGGGCCACAATTAATACTGTGATATTTTCCTTATCTAATTGAAATATATTAAATAATTTTATGAGCTATCTCTCCTCAGGAAATTTTGTGTAAAACAACCCATTTTAAATATTATGTATTTTTAGATTATCAGGACTTATTACAGCTTTCTGTTGTCATTACGTTATCTTATGGTGTAAATAAAAAGTATGAAAAATCCAGATTCTTAAATGTACTTCTAGCCTTTGTGTATTTATCTAAAGAGCAGTGTAAAGTACAAATTGACTTCTTTAAATGAACCACTTGGGAAAGAAACAGAGACTAACTTCAAATAATAAAAGGTAAAATTCTGTCAAGAAAATGTGTTTGCTATTCTATGTTTTTAAAACTCTCTTTTCCGAAAAGCCTGTTCAATTGACATGTCAAATACAAAATCTGAGATCTTCTGTCAGAAGCACAGTGGTAAGCTGTGACTTCAACTAAATCCATGTATAAAAGTAAACTGGCACTGCAACCCGTATCCTCTGCCCTGACAGATGCAAACGCTTGAAAACGCTTGAAATGCCCAATGCAACATCGATGTCAGTGAGAAATGCTGAATTGTCAGAAAACTCCATTTTCTTGTTACTGTGGGGCTTAGTTAAATTCTCATTAAGTTCGAGATTTTGCTTA